CATTACAATTGACTAAACCCCAGATATAACATAAACACAAATGCAAATAATTATAATTATAATAATTGGGAATACAATAAAACCATTACAATTGACTAAACCCCAGATATAACATAAACACAAATGCAAATAATTATAATTATAATAATTGGGAATATAACTAAAACCATAACAATTGACTAAACACCAGATATAACATAAACACAAATGCAAACAATTATCATTATAATAATTGGAAATACAACAAAACCATCACCATTACAATAATTGGGTACATTGACAAACAAAATGAGGCCCAAGTTTGATGCTGCAATAGCCATCAAACAATAAAAGTCACTGAGGTCAGGACCTTCTTAAGCACACACAACAAATAAGATTTTGTAGGAGTACCACAGTTGTTATGCAAGGTTAAGCTGATTTGGACTTAAACTAACATTCAGTTGCTAAAATGTTGTAGAATTCCCTATTTTTAACAGTTGTTCTCAGAGGTTTCTGGGGACCTGAAAGATGGGGCCCTACAATCATGGGCCAAGGTTTTACAGGTTATGGGGGCCCAAGAACTACCCTTTAGGGCTTGGGGAAATAGAACCAGAGTGCATAGAGGAAAGTGTGGAATTAATAATAATACAAGCAAATGTAACTAACAATACAAATGTATTAATAACAAAAATTAACAACAAAATGACTATTAGAGAAACCTGATGCACTGGGAACCAAAGTTTTTTTGGACACAAGAGGTGATTGATAAGTTGGATGGAGATGGGGGAAGTAGAGAGAGGAAAAGACATTTACCCTGTCTAGTGTAGTATCCCCTCTCTCTCTGGACCCAATGCTAACACAGGACACCAATAGACACAGACACAGAGTTTGAATCTGGTATAGATTTGCATAAGAGGAAAGCTGCTATAAAAGTGAGGTGTCTTGCAGAGGACCCCGGGTCTCCTCTTGTCAACATGGGAGCATCGATCCGGATTGGCAGAAGCCCGGCTCCACCCCCTCCCCCATCTAACTCACCTGGCCAGTGAAGTTAAGGGGAGCAACTAATTGGTAACAACAAGACGGAGTGTGTTTGTGTGTGTGTGTGTGAGTGTAAGTGTAATATATTATATGCATATAATACAGAGTTAATGAATACATGTATTACTAATAAATGTGGCGTTTTGCCTTATTCCCCCTAAAAAGATCCTGTGCAGTACTTTAAGTACAACACCAGGTGCCCTGTTCTAATCCCACCGACTCCTCTCCCTGCCCCCAGCCAGGAGCAGAACCCAGGAGTCCTGACCCCCCTGCTTGGCCCACACTGGGAGTCAGACAACCTGCACTGACTGTCAGGAAGGCACTTCCCCGTGCCTCAGTTTCCCCACCGGTCCTGTCCTCAGCGGAGCAGATGCATAGTTTCTCTCTCTCTTTCACTTCCCCGTCTCTGGCTCTGTGTTAGGGGAGCTGCTGGAAAGGATTTTGAACCAGGCGCATTTTCCATCAAACCTTCGGCTGCCCTGCTCACCCCAAATTGTTTTAGAAACGTTTCCTTCGCGGAAACCGCCCCCCTCCAGTACGAACACGGTGGGGCGCACGACATAGAGACACCTGCGCTACCGATTGTGATAGGGGAAAAAATAAATGCAGAAAACTGTGCGAAAAAGGGAAAACGTCACCAATCCCGATCATTCCCCTCACTCACCCCAAAGTTTCATGTTTGGAAAAAAGCCGGTTTGGTGAAAAAAACTAAAACTTTGGGTGGAGAATTTCAAGCAGCAACATCGATTATTGATACTACCCCACCAAGTCTTGACTAGGACCTGGGATTCCCAACGAGTGCCACTCAGCGAGCCTGGGGCGGCGCTCGCCAGCGATGGCACCCAGCCGCCGTGGGCCAAAGACTCAGCGCTGAGAACTGATCAGGGGCAGCCACCTGTTCTTATCGACAGGCGACTGGCAGTGGCTGGGCACCGATTGCTGGCTAGCGCCCGTCAGCCAACACACACACGTGCTCGGCCCTGTACACACATGTACATATGCAGGGCCCCGTCGTGCGAGGTGCTGTACACACCTGTACACGTGCAGGGCCCCGTCGTGCGAGGTGCTGTACACACATGTGCACGTGCAGGGCCCCGTCGTGCAAGGCGCTGTACACACACACACACACGTGTACACGCACGCACGCCCTACCCGCTCTGCTCCCCTGCCCTGATGAACATGCCCCTGCAGGCCCGGGTCTGGCTGCAGCACGGGGAGGATGAGAGCGCGGTGGTGGAGAAGGACGTCCCCATGGCCCAGCGGGTGAAGGTGCTGCAGGTGTCCTACGTGCCCAGCCAGCGCCTGCTGGCCACCTACTGCGACGACCTGCACCTGCGGCTCTTCGGGGACCACACTCAGGGCCTGCGGCTCCTCACAGCCGTCCGCTGTCCGCACTCCGTCACCAGCATGTGCTACAACCCGGAGACAGGTGAGCTGGTCATGGGGGCCATCGGCGCCATCAGCTTCTGGGCCTTCAGCCCGGGGCCCGCGCCAGGCCTGGGCATCTCGTGGGCGGTGAGCGTGGCCGGCGGAGAGTTCGTGCACTGCCTGAGCGTGGAGCGGGACGTGCGGGCGCTGGTGGCCCTGTGCGAGAGCACCATCCGGCTCTACGACTGCCAGCGCCGGGCCGAGACCCAGGCCTTCCAGCTTAGCCAGGGTGTCTCCCTCACCTGCTGCTCCGCCCACGGGCCCCAGGGCCACCTGTACGTGGGCGACCTGGCCGGGCACGTCAAGCTGTGGAGCCTGGAGACGGGACGCCAGGAGCAGCAGTTCCAGGCCCACCTGAGCGCCGTGACCAGCGTGGTGTGCCGCCCGGCCATGCACACCCTGCTGACGGCGTCGCTGGACGGGCTGCTCAAGGAGTGGGGCCTGGGCAGCTGCGAGTTGCTGCGCCGGCTGGACGTGGGCGAGCCGGTCTTCCAGCTGGGCTTTGTCACCGAGCGGATGTTCTACTGCCGCTCGCAGCACAGCTTCTCCCTCCGCACCCTGCGCAACTTCTACCAGCTCTTCAACGCCGCCGGCTCCGGCCTGCGCAGGCTGGCCCGCGTGCCCTGCGGCCCCGGCAGAGCCCGCATCCTGGCCACCACCGAGGACGGGGTGACCCGCTTCCTCTCGTCTGTCACCGGGGAGCTGCTCCTCCTCACTTGGCCCTTCCACAGGCTGGAGAAGGCCCTGGACTACGCCTACGACCCGGAGCGGGAGGAGCTGGTGGTGACCGTGGGGACTGCCGACGTCTACGTCCTGGACACCACCATCTGCCCCAGCCCGGCCAAGTACGTCCTGTGCACCACGGAGAACCGAGACGACAAGGTGCTGTGCTTGGCCTTCTGCCGCCTGGACCTAGGCACCCAGCCCTCCGGCTTCGTGTTCAGCGGGCACTGGAGCGGGCACGTGCGCCTGGTCTCCCAGCACGCCCACAGCCTGGCGGAGCGGCAGATCCACAAAGGGGGGGTAGGCGCCCTGTGTAGCCTGTCGGCCTGCGGGGACCTGTCCTACCGCTCCCCGGAGTCCAACTTCCTCTGCTCCTACGGTGCGGACGAGCGGATCGTGCTGTCCGACGTGGGCCTGACGGGCAGCGAGCTGGAGCTCCGGCCCCTGGTCGTCATCCCCAGCACCGGCTGCCGGATCCAGAGCCTCCTGCTTGTGCCAGGCTACCTCTGCGCCCTGACCGAGCAGAACCGGCTCAGGCTTTGGAGACAGGCCGCCCTGGTGCCCCGGAAGATCAACCCGTACTGGCTGGAGACCTGCCCCCTGCACTCCTGCTCCGTCACCTCCTTGGACTACTGCCACCCGCTGCAGCTGCTGCTGACGGGGGGCGCGGACGGCTCGGTGAGGGTGTGGTCCCTGACGGGCGTCCTGCTGGTGGACTTCGACACCAGCCTGCAGTTCAGCCGCGTTTGCTTCGCCAGCCTCCGGGGCGACCTGCTGGTCGGCTGCAGCACCAACATCTACTTCATCTCCTGCCTCGAGTACCTGCCCCGCCGGCACCTCAAGGCGCTGGCTGCCTGGCAGGTGGAGGACGACATGGTCGAGCACCCCCTGCCCTTCCTCCCCAACTTCCTCCTGTCCTTCGACACGGTCTTCGTACCCAGGTACCTCTGGGCGGGCGAGAAGTCCAAGTGCTTCCAAGGCATGGAGGCCCTCACCAGCCACCGGGAGGTTATGCTGGTCAAGAGAGTGGCCAGGGTGGTGACCAGTGTCAAGACAGAGAGAGGCCCCTCTCCCGGCCCAGAGGCCCCCGGCGGGGTGCCAGAGCTCGCTGCGGATTTCCGGCCCGCTCGGACACTCACCAAGAGGCTCCTGTCCTCGCCGGTGGAGCCGCCAGGCGGCGAGGAGCCCCAGGCGCCCGGGGAGCTAGTGCCGCGGCTCCAGAAGCATTTCCTGCCAGGGGGGCCGTGGCTCATCGGGCCGGACGGCTACATTCCCAACTCCATCATCAGGGCCCAGCTCTGGCCGCTGGGCACGCCCCCGCACCTCCAGTGCTCCCTCAAGGTGACCCCGCGCCGGCGGCTGCCGCCAAGGAAACCAGTCCCGGTCCAGGAGCCGGCGGCGTCCCGGTGGTGGGAGGAGCCGGCAGAGAAGGGGAAGGCCAAGCGGAAGCCGCAGGACCAGCCCAGGTCTTTCGTGGACCCGGAGCTGCCCCGGGACGTGCTGGCCGAGATCGTGGCCAAGAATTGGCTGAGGCAGAGGCCCAGCGAGGTGACACTGGAGTCCGTCCTGCGGGCCGTGTTGGCCCAGCTAGAAGACGGGCCGCTCTCCGTGTACAGCCTGTGCACCGCCGCCCTGGTGCAGATCTGCCAGGCCTACGTGCTGCCGCCCCCACTGCAGGCCGAGGCTGCCGCCCGCCTCTACCAGGGCACCGCCAGCGAGAACGGCCAGACCCGGCAGGCGGCCTGGGAGACCCTGGGCGAGATGGAGCTACTGAGCCACAGGGACGTGGTGCCGCTGACCCGGGCCCTGCTGGACCCGGACTGGCAGGTGCGGGACCAGGCCCGCTCGCTCATCGCCTCCGTCGCCGGCATCACCGACAAGGGCGTCCTCCAGAAGGCGATCAAGAGGCACGTCACGCCCACCAAGGAGCAGCCGTGAGTGCCCCCCGCCCCACGCCCAGTCCTTCCCTCTCCGCCCCCCGGTTCTCAGTCACACTCGGGCCCCCCTGTGCCAAGCGCTGGTGGGACCGGCCCTGTGGGAATCCCCCTGCAGATCAGCCTCCCCAGGTGGTGTGGGGCTGGCATGAGGGCCCTGCTCCCGAGCCCCAGCGGAGGGGGTGGGTTGGGGATGCAGCTGGAGCGTGCTGCACTGTGACTATTCTCTGGCCCCCCTCGCCCCCTGGCTCATAGGGGGAGATCAGGGCCGTAGCTGGGTCACGCTGCACCGTGGCGAGTCTCTGCCCCCTCCAAGGACCGATGGGGTGATTGTGAGTTAGAGCAGCCCTGAGGCTGCTCTAAATGCCCACGGGGGCAGGACGGGGCCTGGAAGATGGGAAGCAGAACTGGAGCAGAAAGCCCCCTTAAGCCCACGCGCAGGGCGAGGGGAGCCAATGGCTGCTGCAGGATGGTGCCTGGGCCCGGGTCGACTTTCCTAGCGGCTGTGACTCCACCCTGACCCGGGCAGGGGCTGGGGCCCCAAGGGGCTAGACCCATCGAGTGACATCAGACGCCAGCCGGTGCTGTCTCCCCCCGCCGCGCCCCTCACCCGCTCTCTCCGCTCTGCCCCCCCAGGAGTGTCACCCTCAGCGGGACGTTTGTGCCGTACGGGCTGGGGCTACTGGGGCCTGAGGCAGAGGGGTCGGGGTGGGCGCCAGCCCAGCTCAGCATCACAGAACTGGAGATCCTCCTGGCTCAAGTGGAGACCAGGCTGACGGACGACCTGTACCTGGCGGAGGAGGGCCCGGAGCCCAGGGCCAGGGGCCAGGGGCCCGGCCTCAAATGGCCCAAGGCGTCAGAGCTGCTGGGCGCGGAGACGGCCGGGGCGGAGCCGACCCAGGGCCAGGCCAAGAGGCTGCAGCTCTTTGGACAGACCCAGCTGCCCAGGAGCTCTGGTACGTCCAGCTGGAGCCGGGTGGGGGGGGAATTCCCCTCTCTCCCCGCACTGGAGTCCCGGGGGGGGGGCGAAGGGACGTCTCCCTCACACTCACCGCCAGCCCGAGGGGGGAGGGCAGCTCCTCTAGGGGGAGGGGGGCGCTGTTCCCCAGAGCAGGGCAGGTGTGTGGGCTGGGGCTGAGTGTCGGGGTGCCCTCCCCTCGCTGCCAGCCTGACCCTGTCTCCACCCCGCCCAGGTGCAGCCAAAGAGGCCCCTGGCACAAAGAACCAGAGACACCCGCAGGACAAGCTGCCCCAGATCCAGCCGGGGGCCCAGCGCCTCACAGCCCCGGTTATGGTGCCGAGCGGCGAGGTGCTGGGCCCCGGCTCCGAGGCGGAGAGACGGCAGGGCCCCGCCAGCGCCCCAGGCAGCCGCTCCTCCGAGGTGCCCAAGGTCCCGCTGCCCAAGGTGGGGCAGCCTCCCCTGGGCCCGCGCCCCCTGGACCCACGCACCAAGCGCTACCAGGAGACGCTGAAGAGGCAGATGCTGAAGAAGAAGCAGCCGGGCGAGCCACTGTCCTGGCAGCCGAGCCGGCCCTCGGCCCAGGCCATGCGCCCCGAGTCCTCCGACCCCTTCCTCATCGACCCCAGTCACCGGTACGGCGCCGACAGCGCCCGCTGGCGGGACGACATATGCACGCTGCTCAACCTGCGCATCGCCCCCTCGGCCGACGACCGCAGCACCCTGGAGGAGCTGGTGGCGTCCACCCGCCTGGCCCTGGGCTCCTGGAGCCTCGGCAAGTCCAGCAGCACCGTCCTCCGGGGCCTGCACGAGAGATACGCGGCTGCCGAGGAGCTGGTGGCCGAGCTGGGCACGCGCCTGGCCCAGGAGGCCTGGGCCAAAAGCGCAGAAGGGGGCCTGGCTGAGGGGGCCCCAGCTGAAGGGGGCCTGGCCGAGGGGGGCCTGGCCGACGGGGCCCCAGATGAAGGGGGCCTGGCCAAGGGGGCAGTCAGAGGCCTGGCCAAGGGGGCCCCAGATGAAGGGGGCCTGGCCGAGGGGGCAGGCAGAGGCCTGGCCGAGGGCGGCCTGGCCGAGGGGGCAGAGCAGGTGCTGGGTGGCAGGGCGTCCAAGGCCCCTGTGGCACGGCCAGAAGAACTGGCCCCGGGCAGCCCGGGGGCGGTCGCTGGGGGGCTCGAGGGGCAGGTCTGGCAGAGAATCCAGCCGCTACTGGCGATCCTGGCCGATCCGGCCCGGCTGGAGAGCACCGACACCGCCGAGCTGCTGGGCCGGCTCCAAGCCCTCGGGCAGTGCCCCTCCGTGGAGCACAGGGTGGCGCTGGAGTCCACGCTGGCCATGGCGGCCCAGGTGCTGGGAGAGGAGGACGCCGGCCTGGGCAGGGCAGTGTCGCTCTGCGCCCTCCTGGCCAGCCTCGGGCAACAGCCGCACGAGGCCACCGTGTCCACGGAGCTGCTCCAGGCCCAGCCTGTCCCCGAGCCCGGCCTGGCTAAGGAGCTGCTGGCGTCTGCCCAGGCCCGGCTGCAGGCCAGCGCCGAGAGGATGGGGCAGGAGTGGGCCTGGTGGGAGCAGGTGGCCCAGCTGGGGCGGCCCAGCCTGGAACTGGCCGCGCTCCGGGAGGACGAGGTGGCCCGGCGGAAGACGCAGCCTCTGGCTTTATGGCTGGGCAGAGTCTGGGCCCAGCAGCGGAGGTTCCAGCAGCGTGAGCCCGGGGCCGGCGGGCCCAGGGAGCAGGAGGAGGCGGTGCCCGTGGACAGCCAGCGGCAGAAGGTCGACTTGTACCTGCCGGACCGGCTGCCGACTGCCAGCACCGGCTGGGCCGAGGTGGGAGCGCATCAACTGCCGGGCGAGGACAAGTTCCTGGCGCTCTACCAGGTGCTGGTCACCCTCCAGCAGCGCCACGGGCCCTTCTCCCCGGCCTGGTGGGAGCAGTTCCACCGGCTCGCCGAGCTCTACGGCCTCGGGCGGCCCCTGAGCCGCGCCTTGATCCAGCAGCTGGGGGCAGCCGACCGGCACAGCAGCAAGTCCCTCCCAGGCATGGCCCCGGCCAGGCGGGAGGAGCAGGAGCAGAGCGAGGCCACCCTGGGCCAGCGGATCCTCTACCAGATCCTGCATCGGGCCCCCCAGAAGCCGCCCGAGCCGCCCAGCTTCTGCGGCGTCATCCCCCTGAGCTACCAGAACAACGTGCACACGCTGCAGCCGCGGGGGGAGGCCCGGTACGGGGCCGTGGCCCTGGCCTGGAGGACGGCGCAGCAGGACGGCCGGGGCCAGCAGCCCCAGCTGCACTTGGGGGTGGGATGAGGGGGCGGAAGGGCAGGGCTCTGAGCCACAGCAGAGCCCTTCTGGCGAGCTAGCGGCTCTCTCTTCAGCGCCAGCCCAGCAGGGCCAGGGCCAGGGCCAGGGCCAGAGGGGCCCAGGGGATGGCTCAAGGTGGCCCCGATCCCTGCCCGGGGGGCCAGCTCCAGCCGCCCCTCCCCTGCGTTCGGAGCTGCGTCTGTAATAAAGTTGGTGCCACGTCACGGCCCCAGGAGACACTGCTGCTGTTTGACTCTCATGTTAGATACGTGCGGTGCCGGGCCCGAGTGGGTGAGCTGCCTCCCGCAGCCAGGAACGGGGGCAGGGGGCCGTGGGGGCATCACAGCACCCCTCTCCTCTGGGTATGGGTACCCCGGCCGCGAGGCTGGCAGTGCCCAGAGACACAGGCAGAAGCCCATGGCTGGAGCTGTCCAGGCTCTGGGGATGGATGGGGATGGATGGATGGATACTGGCGCTGGGTGATGGGGATGGATGGATGGATACTGGCGACTGGGTGATGGCGGCTGGACTCTGGGGATGGATGAATGGATGGATACTGGCGCTGAGTGATGGGGATGGATGGGGATGGATGGATGGATACTGGCGCTGGGTGATGGCGGCTGGACTCTGGGGATGGATGGGTAGATAAAAGAGTTTTCTCCCTAGACCCTTCTTTGAATATTGAGGTTGGATCGCTGGCTCTGGGCTGGTGGGTGCGCATGGGTGTGGCCGGCCCAGGGGGGCCCCAACTCAGCAAGGGTTCCCCCACCCCTACCCCACAAGGTCCCATCGGCAGCCCCCTCATGGCTCAGCACGGCCTCCCCCCATTTCCCCCAGGAGCAGCTGGAGCCCAGGGGCAGGAAGCCGATTCCTTCCCTAGCCCACCCCATTGTTTGTGTCTGGGCTCCCCTGTGTCTGTCCCTCCAGCCCCAGACACCCCCAGTTGCTGCCCTCAGGCTCCCCTAGTTCCACCCCCCCATAGCTTCTGCCCTCACAGTGCCGCAGCTGGGAGCAGCCTCACCCCCATTGCTGGGTGCTGGGAACCAGCCGGCTGGAGCCGGCTGCTGGACCCGTCAGGCTGGTTTGCCATGGGCGGTGGCTGACAGGGAAACCGCCAGATTGGGGGTTGGGTGGGAGCGAGGGACAGCTCCAGAGTCACGCCTGCCCGCCGCCCCCCCGGGTGCGCTCGGTGCCCCTGCCGTGACCTGTCTTGGGTGCCACCAGCCCTGGGGGCAGCCCTGGCGGGGAGAGCTTCCTCTGGGTGGTGGTAGCGCCAGCTAGGATGTGCCAGGGGGCCCAGGGCCTGCCCCAAAGAGCTGCCAGTTGGAACAAGGGGAGGCCTGGGACCCAGGACGCCTGGGTTCCATCCCTGGTTCTGTTACTGACGCCCCGTATGACTCTGGACAGCTCCAGTCCCCCTCCCCCACTCCTCAGAGCTGGGACCAGCCCCCGGATCTCCTGGGTTCCGGCCCAGTGCCCTGCCAGCCTCCCACACCAGCTGGGTTCAGCGAGCTGCCCCTCCCGCGGGCGTCCCCAGGGCAGGGAAAGCAGGAGCTGGTGCCGCAGTGTGCCCCGTGCCGGCTTCCTCCGGACAAGCCCCAGGCCTCTCCCCTCCCCCCAACATCATCACCTGCTTCTCTAGGCCCGGCTGGCTCGGGCCCAGGCAGGTTGCTGTGTGCGTTGCCCTGGGACTACGTTTCCCAGAGCGCCGCGGGAGAGCCGGGGGTACCGCTGGGGGGCTAGGGAGACGCACCGGTGTAAAGAGCTCTCCTCAGCTGGGCTGGGGACAGATTGGGGGGCAGGACGGCAGGACCCGGGACGCCCGTCTGGTCTCTGCGCTTGTGGCTGCGGTAACCTCCGCGTGCTGAGAACAATAATCCTGCAATCAGCACTTTGCTCTGCCTCGTTGTTGCTAAGACCCCAGCAAATCGGCCGTGGAGTCGTGTTTCTCCAGCGCACGGGATACCGACGCGCTGAGCTGTTCAGGGCAGGGACCTCTCTCACCCTGTGCACCAACCAGCCCAACGGGCCCATAGGTAGTAACAACTTTCAAGATTAAACAATACAGCACTTTTCTCAGCCACCGCAATGCAGCCACCTCTGGGGTGGAACGTGGCAGCTGCTGGGGCAGCACTTACCGAGGGCTGAACTGCAGCTGCCTCTGAGTTGGCGAGTAGCAGCTGTTTAAACAGGGCTCCCTTGCCCAGCATCAAGATGCAGCCGCCTCTGGGGTGGGCCGTGAGCGCTGTTGATCAGTGGTTTCTTTGCAGCGCTGGTGCTGAGCTGAGAGGACCCCAGGCCCACGCGTGACGTACGTCTGAGGAACCCGGCTGGGTGGGCAGGGCGGGCCGGTGGGCCCAGACCGTTCCGGGGGATAACGCTCACGTCACGCCCTTGCCAGCTCCCTCGCTGTTATCCCGCCTCTCGGGATCTTTGCCGCCCGCAGCCGGGGCGTGGCAGGGCCTCGCTGCCCTCCTGCTGCCGGCACGAGGCGCCGGGGGGAAAGGCTTCGACGGCGCTGGCCGCAGCCAAGGGGCGCGGGACTGGGAGCTTGGCCGTTCCCGCGGGGCTGGGGGCCCGTCCCGGGGCCGGGAGCCCGTCCCGGGGCCAGCGAAGGCACCGGGCTCGCCCGGCCCGGAGCAGGGCACCTTGCTCCACCTGCCCCAGCCGGGCGCTGGGCTCCCCAGACGCCCCCCACATCCCCGCCTCTGACACAGGCCCGGAGAACTACAAGTCCCAGCCTGCACCGGGGCGGCTCGCCGGGTCCCTGGACACCCCGAGACCAGCTGACAGCCCCGGCGGAGCCCGGACACCATCCGCCGAGCCGGGGAGGGGCGCGGGGGGAGGCGCGCGCGATGCACTGAGGGGGGGGCTGCGTCCCCCCGGCCAGGACCCCCCGCACCCCCATCTCCGGCGGGGAGGAGGCGGCCGCTGCAGACCCAGCTGCGGGGGGGTGACCCCCCGGCCCCCCGCCCCCGGGCGCTGCGGAGGAAGATGCCCGGGGCGGGCCCGGAGGTGGCAGCTCCCGGCGGCGTGGAGGCTGCGGGCACGACCGAGGCGAGCTGAGAAGGGAAGCGGAGCTCGCCGTGGGGTGCCCCCTGGCCCGCCAGCCGTGAGGTGCCGGGGGCTGGAGTCCCCTCAAACGCCAGCCAAGCCCCCCCCCGCCTGCTGCCCGGGGCGCAGAGACCTCGCCAGCCGGGCCGAGCCGGGCGTGGGCACACCGGGCACCGGTGCCAGCCAGGAACAGGTGAGGCGGACGCTCTGCCAGCCGCTGGGTACCAGGACGTGGATGTGTCCCAGCCGGCACCGGGTCCCGTCCTGCCCCCTCACGCCCTGCGCCCAGGGCACCCACCGCAAGCGCCCGCGGGCGGCTGGGCCCCTCCAGCCTCACAGAGCCGGACCCGAGCCGGGGAGAGACGAGGCGCCGAGCTGGTCCCTGGTGTAGCCGGGGCAACTGCGGTAGAGCCGCGGCTCCGGGCCCCAGGCCCTCGCTCCCTGTCCGCGCGGGGCGGCTCCTCGGCTATTTATCTGTCCTCGGAGAAAGCATAATGCCTCCTTTCTTCTGAGCGAATCCACGGCCGCCGCGCAGCGCCAGGCCGGGCAGAGCCGGCGCCCGGCCATGCAAAGGCTGGACACGCCGTCCCCTCGCGTCCAAGGGAAGTGGCACAATTGAGAGGTGCAGGGAGGCCCCTGCCAGGCTCCTGGGGGGTCGGACTCGCCGGCTGGGGAAGGCCCCGGCCCTCAGCTGCGCCTTGTGCTGCAGGGGTTAGTCCGTAGCGCCAGCCACCCTCCTGCGGCCCACGCCCGCCGGGCAGCAGCCGAGAGGCGACGCGCTGGGAGTTCTGGATGTTGCTGCCGTGGTGGGAGCGTGCACCGGGGGCCAGTCCCTGGGCCAGCGAAGGCGGGCGGCTGTCCCCGCTCAGAGCACGGCAGCATGTCCCAGCAGCACTCAGCCATCTAGGCCGGCCGGCACCGCGGAGGGCCCAGGATGGAGGCCGGGCACAAGGCGCTGCCAGGCGAGGAGGCCGGGGACGGGCCGGAGGATGGCGGCGGGGGGTGGAACCACAAAACCAACCCCTTCTGGACGGCCGTCTTCGATTACGAGGCGGTGGCGGAAGAGGAGCTGACGCTGCGGCGCGGCGACCTGGTGGAGGTGCTCTCCCAGGACTCCACCGTGTCGGGAGACGAGGGCTGGTGGACGGGGAAAATCGAGGACAGGGTGGGCGTCTTCCCCTGTGACTACGTGGCCAGCGGCCCCCCGGGCGGCTCCTACCCTCTGCCGCTGGAGATCTCCTTCCAGGAGCTGCTGCTGGACGAGATCATCGGGGTGGGGGGCTTCGGGAAGGTCTACAAGGGCGTGTGGCGGGGGGAGGAGGTGGCGGTGAAGGCGGCGCGCCAGGACCCCGACGAGGACATCAGCACCACGGCCGAGAGCGTCCGGCAGGAGGCCCGGCTCTTCTGCATGCTGCGCCATCCCAACATCATCGCCCTGAAGGCCGTGTGCCTCCAGCCCCCCAACCTGTGCCTGGTGATGGAGTACGCCCGGGGCGGCGCCCTCAACCGAGCGCTGGCCGGCAGGAAGGTGCCGCCGCACGTGCTGGTGAACTGGGCCGTGCAGATCGCCCGCGGCATGAACTACCTGCACAACGAGGCCGTGGTGCCCATCATCCACCGCGACCTGAAATCCATCAACGGTGAGTGCCGGGGCCAGGGGGCGCCAGGGGGGCAGCGCCGGGACGGGGCCATGTGGGTGCCCCTGGGGTGCGGGTGGGGGCCACCCCACTGGGAAACCCTGAGACCTGCCAAGCTCACTTCACACATTGAACAGCTGCTGGCAGGAAAGCGGGTGTGCCAGGATGGGACTGGCATCCTAGAGGGGACAGGCCCCTGCCCCATTCCCTGCCCCCCTGAGCCAGCCAGTCCCTGCCCTGGGGCTGGAGGGGAGCCGGCGCCCCCGAGGGGGACAGGCCCCCTGCCCCATTCCCTGCCCCCCTGAGCCAGCCAGTCCCTGCCCTGGGGCTGGGTGGGAGCCGGCGCCCCCTAGAGGGGACCAGGCCCCTGCCCCATTCCCCGCCCCCCTGAGCCAGCCAGTCCCTGCCCTGGGGCTGGGTGGGAGCCGGCGCCCCCTAGAGGGGGACAGGCCCCCTGCCCCATTCCCTGCCCCCCTGAGCCAGCCAGTCCCTGCCCTGGGGCTGGATGGGACCCGGCACCCCCTAGAGGGGACAGGCCCCTGCCCCATTCCCTGCCCCCCTGAGCCAGCCAGTCCCTGCCCTGGGGCTGGATGGG